AGAAGAAGAAGAGGAGGATGAAAGGTGGCATGGGTAGGGTGTAGGAGGTTTGTGGACCACTTTTGGAGAGATTGAAGAGACCCTTGGAGGAGGTGGGGGAGGAGTGTGCCGTCTCGGCCTGCACAGAGGTGACAGCTCTGGGTGTTTGCTGGCTACAATGAGTCCCTGGAGCTTGTCAACAACCTCAGCCAGCAGGTTGAGCGCCTGGGCGTTATCTTCCGCGCTGTCTGCGATCATCTCTGTCACTGCCATCATCTTATGGCCAAGATGGCGAACGTCCTGAGTGCCGTGCTCAATACTGCTGGCCACCATCTGAACAGTGGACCTGAGCTCCTCCACGCTGCACTGTTTGGTGAGCTCTGAAGGTTGAGGATGTTGCTTTGGTTGATTCTGGCATCCATTGTTACGACGAGCAGTAGGGGAGTGGATCATCAAGGGGCAATTGAGAGGCTCTTCTTGTCGTTTGTTATGCGATCCAGCTTGACATCGATGTTGCCTGCCAGGGGTGGGGAGAGTGGCAACCCCCTGCTGCCGAGTGGAACGATGAACCATAGGACTAGAAGGAGCTGTGTGGGCTCTGAGAGGGTTCCTGCCAGGTGTAGGGATGTTCCTTGAGTGTCCACCTGTAGCCCACTTTTTGTATAAGACGGGGGAGTTAGGAAGACTGTAAGCTGGGACTGGAGGAGGAGGGTAGGCATAGTCATCACTGCTCCCACCAGTAGAAGCACTTTCTCCCTCGTTGTGTTTGGGTTTGTCTGAAAATGAACCTCAATTTAGGGAGATGGATGAAGAAAAGAGAAAAAGTTATAAGATAAGAAATGAAATGAAGCAACCAATTTTTGACTTGGTGATGATTTAGAGATGTTGAGGATGAAAAGTATCTGAAAGATACACAATGGATGAACTGATAGATGAACTGGCACACTTTTGCTGGATGACTCTAAAGATCCACTTTCCAATCAAGGAATGGACAAATGCAGAAATGGATGAATGAATGATGATCAGTACCCGACGCACACTGAATTTGAGCTTTTACCTTCAGGGAGACATTATAGATTGTTGATGAAATGAAGAAATGCCGTCAGTAAATGAAAGTAGTATGTATGGTAGACTAAGATACAGAGTTGTGCTCCTCACTTTGAAAAAAGTTTTCGTATTCATATTGCTGAAGATACTGGGCCTTATCAAGCATCTCAGAGCAGGACATCAGTCCTACTTTAAGGACGAGGACTAAAAGTATTTGAACTTTCTTAACTTAGGAAACTTTGCAAGGTTGCAAAAGGCAGCATGCTTTCCAGGAGGTCCTCCCAACTTCACATTGACGGGGAAAATTCAGTGTGGTGGTTCTGTCGCAACCAATAATTTTCAAGAAACTCTACAAAGATTCGAAAAAAGCTGTTCTAACGCAAATCATTGATTTATTTATATAATCATTCATTCATTTGTATGAATCCAAAGTCGTAGCTGAGATTGTAAGAAGAGATTTACATTGTTTCTGTGCTTCCGTGTATTTCCATACACTGGGTGACATGAAAGAAATAACCTTTAAGGTCACATATGTTAACAGCAGGTGTAGTTGAAAGGTGATTCGGAGAGTGGAAGAGAAGATTAATTCCATCAGCACTAATAGACAGTCCTTCCAGGAAGTTGCGATTTTGCATCCGCAACAGTTAACGCAAACTCAATGAATTTTGCACAAATTTTATTCAATCACTGGAACTTGTAACCAATTGAAAATGTAACCAGACATTGTAGTTTCCAGAGAATTTCACAAATCATAGCCGTCCCCACAAAACACAGCCATTTGGACCAAACTACTAGTGACTTTTTTCTTACTGGAACAAGTTGCCTTTATGAATTATAAAGATTTCTTCTTAAGTCTGTTATAGGTCGCTCGTTAGAGTGATTCTGATAACGGCGCTGGAGGGTGAACTGTTCTTCCTCACTGTTGCTCCTTTGGTGATTGGATGACAGATCGGACAAAGAATGGAAAAATGGACAGATGATTGATAATTGATGATTGATGACTGATGATTGCATGCAGTGACGTCAACCCTCCTCTTACCTTTGCAGGGGGCGGGGCTAAAGATAGAGGAAGATGATTGGTTGAGCCCTTTCTTCCAGAGCTCTGCGGTTTGCGGACACAAACAGGAGTTGCCTGTCGACTCGTAGCGGGGCATAAAGGGACGTGACTGTCCTCCTCTGGGGAGGGGCAAAGGCCAGGCTTCACTTTCAGTTGCTCGGAGCTCCTCCCCTGACCGTGCCCTCCTCGCTGGGACGAGACGCTCCAACGTGAGACGGCGAAGGCTGCTCCAGCGACTACGAATCGCACCGTGTCCTCTTTCTACAATTCCTCTGTGCATTTCTCCATTCTTAATTAACAAAAGATAAGAAACTGAAATCTATTTTTTTTTAAACAATGAGGTAATTATCTGTAAAGCAGTGGTAGATCAATGGTTACTTTGTCAGCTGCTCACAGGCTTTCTACTTCCAACCCAGCTGCTCGGTGCGATCAATTATTCAACCCTGTCTCCTAGCAATAACGTTTATGTTGTCACATTTTGTAGAATTACAGTTCCCTGCTGCCTGTATTATGTTTTTTCCATTTATGTTCTGCACAAAAGTAAAAGTGTAAAACAGGACAGACGTGGGTTTAGGTCCTGAGTCCTGTACGCCTTTTCTACCTAATCTTGAACCAGTTCTTTGGGTTTCGACAGCCAAAGAACCGACTCTCGGCCAGAAAAACTGGTTCCAACATAGCACCAACGCTGTGAAATAGAAAGTGACTCGCCAGCGGCTGGTTGTTCTTCACCAGACAAACGATCCTCATGGCCTCCTCATTCTCAGGCATCTCGTCGGGCAGAGGGGGTAAAACGGGTCCGTAGTCTAACTGGGCCACACTGTCCTGGGACGATAGGAGGGCCTGAGAGACGGGTACAGGAGTTATCACAGACCATCAAGCGGGAGTTACACAAGAGTTCCTGAATGAGTGAACAGACCTGGATGTGTGGTGAGCTGAGGAGGTTGTGGAGCTCTCGAGCTTCGGCTGAAGGACGGGGGACCGTTTGTATCACAGTCATTATCTGACAGACAGACAGACAGGTACTCAGACAGGAATATAGAGAGAGTATAGACGGCAGTGGGGGACCAGAACGCAGAAAGTTGTGATGCATTTATGGTGACATTGCTTATTCAGGGTTAGACTGTAAAAACACAGTACTACTCCAGCACCAAAACATAAAGTAAAATAACAGAAAATAACTGACTTATACAGTAATATTCTATAATTAAAATACAGTTTTTAGCTTTAATTCTATATAAAATATTGTGTTTTCTTTTGTCTTTTTAATGTTTCATTAAAGATATTTACACATGTAGAGGAAAGGGGCTCCGATCGTACGGCCCCAGCTGGGCTGTCCGGAGCCGATGCATTAGACCTTTTGTTGTTTGTGTGTTTGAGTCGTTTCATTGGTCTTTTCTTCATTGTTTTGAAAATAAATTAATTGATTGGAAACTCCTGTCTTTGATTATGTCATACGAGCTATAATGGGGGGGTTGTAACAGTAATTATATTCATATTTCTCTGTATTTAAAAAAATACAGAGAAAATCTGTAAAATAAACGGGAAAACCCCATAAACTTTAGCATCCAAGAGGGCACTTTAACGTGTTTCATTGACCACAGGGGACATCCAAGAGGGCACTTTTACTTCAACTTTTGTTTAAAAAAAGATTGAATTTGTTTGGTTGTTTTCTTTGTGTTTTTAAATTGAGAGCAATCAGCATTACATTCCTACTGGAGATTGAAAAACGCTTTAGATTATATTTGACTGTGTTTTATATTTTCATCTCATCTTATGTAATATATGTGTGTGTGTGTGTGTGTGTGTGTGTGAATAAACCTCGTGCGAGAGTCCTGATGCATAAGGCAGGATGGGGCTGGGTGTCAACCTCTGGAACTGCAACAGGCACTCATAAATCTGCACAGACAACACAGGAAATTAGATTTTTAACATTTTATTTGTATAGCACCAAATCCTAACAGAAGTTGTCTCAGGACACGTTTCATACTGACAGGCGCCTGCAGGGTGTGTCCAATGTCGTTGTACCTTCAGCAGTGCGCGCAGCCACGGCGCACTCAGGAGTTCGTGCAGAAGCTGAGCTCCACCAACGTTTCTGTAGACAGCTTCAATAACGTCCTCCACCACGTCGGACAGCACGTCACTGACACCTACACACACACACAGGCAGACACGGCAGTATGTGTTTCCCTGTCCTTCTCATTTTGCTCCTCCAGCTCTGCCCAGGTGTGCTGATTACCTGTGATTAGGTGATTAAAAGCACTGTGCCAGCACCAGCAGTCAGAGCCTGTTGGAGTGGGGACTACTGGTGTTACTGCCTCTCAGGCTGGGATTTTGTGTAACTTTGTGTCTTTTGATTTCATGTATTGATTGTTTGTATTTCTTTACGTTAATACATTTGGTTTTTTTTTTAAAGGTGTCTTTCTGTGGTTGTTTTAGTCAGTGTTGGAGAGTTGTTTGCCCCAAAGGCCCACCTAAAGCTGGAGTGTAACACAACACAGACATAGAATTATAAATAGTATGAAAAGTTCTTAAAACCATCAGAAAACTTACCTCTGATGAAATATTCACAGGAAATAATCTGCTCAAAATTCATCCAAACTGCTCCTTTTCCACTGACTTCCTGCAGTTATTGTGTTCACTGCTTATCAGCTGTTCACATTAACATTAACACATTCAATTATGTTGATTTTACAAATAAAGTGTTCATTAATGATCCGTTGTGGCCATATTGTAGACTCAGTGTTAAACAGTCTGCGAACTGTTCCCTGGGAACAGATGCCCTTTGTGGTATCAATTCATAGATGAACACTGACTATACACTGCAGTTAGGGGTTTGGTGCCTTGCTTAAGGGCCCCTTAGCAGTGCCCAGGAGGTGGAACTGGCATCTACCAGTCCACACTCCATACTGTGGTCCATGCTGGACTCGAACGCTCCGGTTCCCAGACCAAGTCCATACAGATTAATAGAAATAATAAGTAATGAAAGTAATGCATTGAAGCCTCTCCGTTGTAAAGTGTGGTATAATTTTAACAGCTGTTTGTCCTCCTGAGCAGAAGGCAGACATGTTTGCAGACATGTTTGCAGACAGGATTAACGTTAGAGAGGAGCCCTGACCCTGCAGACAGACACTAATACTCTCTGAATTAGGTTTTACATCAGATTAAAATGTAATTGATCCCTGGTCCCGATTTAAACTCGAGTTCAGGGTTAAAACTTTACTTAAGTAAAACAATAAACAGTAAATGCAGTCAGTTATATGAGGTTATAATGGAAGTGTGTGTGTGTGTGTGTGCGCGCGCGTGTGCTCACCATCCTCCATAGTTGGTCTCATGTTGATTGTCCACGGTAGAAGAAGAAAAAGGGCACTGAAAGTAAAAGGTGTCAAAGGTTCAGAGACACACGATGAGACAATGATTCACATGATTTAAAACTCTCCACCAACTGATACAGACGTCATTATACTGTAACACTCTCACATCAGTGTGTGAAACATCATCATCCTTCTTCAGTACAGAACTTTCACAATAAGATGTTTAGACACTATCTGAACCAACTGTGACATATTCTATGGATATTCAGAGGTTCAAGCCTGAATTCTTCCATTGGTAAACCTGGTACTGCAGTCTGCAGGTACAGTCTGTTACACGTTCCTCAGTCACACAATAATGCCACATGTCCAAGGTAAACCTCCAAACTTAGGGCAGGAAAAGTCTGGAGACTTTACCTGAAGTTTGATAGAAATACTTCTTCTTATGCTTACTGGAGTCCAACAACTGATGATGAACACTCTATTATATACCCTGTACAGTATACAGCTCTTCCTTTACCAAACCAACAGCAACTGGTTTTCAAAAAACAAACCAGTATTATCATTTTGACCACATAAAGGACCATGTGGCTGAACTCTCGGTGAACTCCATCCTGTGTGACCTTGGACTCTTGAACTCTAAGATCTCCACACGCCTTAAGCTCTGTCTCTGGCTTTAAAGGCTGATGGTTGCTTGTGTTCTGACTGTTCCTCCTATATTTACACATGAAATATAATAAAATATACATTTACTTATTCTTCTAACTGTATGTCATTTAATGCTGTGTTTTATCACAATCGCACAGTCAAAAACCTGACTTGTTGCATCTGGTTGTATCGGCCACGAGGTATGCTAAAATTATTCTTCTGAACAGTTTTTGATCCGAATGTTTTCCGATCGCTCTCAACCAAGCGTAATTATCATTAATTCTATATTTTCCTGAAATGCCGATATCTTCCAGTAGCAGCAGCACGGAGGACTGAATGTGTTATTTTGGTCCTTCCTCTTACAGCAGCAGGTTACTAAATGTGGGCTAATTACGTCGTTAGCTTCTTATCTTGGCTCAGCTTCTGTTTCCACTTGCTGTCCAGGAAGAGCTTTCATTCAGAAAATGTGAAAGTTGTCACGCAGTCACTCAGTCCAACACCCAGCGACTGTTTCTGCTGGTGTCTGTCGGAGGTATTTTTAACTCTCAGGGCAGTTTTCATAGATATGTTTGTAGTTTTGGCTAAAATGGGAGGGCAAATTGTTTTAATTTCCCAGATTTAACCAATGATTACTTATGAAACGAGGGGCTCGATGTGCTCAGTAATGCTGAGGGGAAACCTGGATGAGGAAGATTTTATTTGTAGTTATAAACCTTCAACCTGGTCTCACTTCCACCTCATCAAATATTGCAGTTAGTGGCTTCAACTTCAGAATACGAAGCTGTAGGTGTCCCATTAATACAATTTCTGTATGTGCACGCTGTTAAAGTCAGGTGTCTTAGCATAAAGATGGAGAAAGTCGTCATATGGCGGTCGAGACTCAAACACAGGACTCCGACCCAGGAGACTGCTGTTGGTGTCCTGTGTGAAACCTAAAGACTTCTTTTAATATCACCTAAATTGTTTTTGCTCCTACACCTAACCAAACTATTTATTCACTCGACCTCAACACAGAGGGAAACCTACAGGGTCGTATTTTGAAATGGAGGGCGAGTTAGGAGTGATAACATTTTCAGTTTCTTTCAATATGAGATAAAACCAGCTACTGAAAAATATGAATTAGTTACAGTTACTAGTTATTGAATTACTTTACCAGTTACTGCATATTAAAGTAATTACTTAAGTAAAGTAACTTTTGCTTTTAAATGCTGTCAGATTTATTATTTTAGTGTTGCTGTGAGACAAAGTGATCTAGTTATTAATACTCTGGACCACCAGAGGGCAGCATAGACTATCTGTAAACTATATTTAATGTGAATTAGTAGACAGGAGCATTCAGGAGAAGATGTGAACATTAACTGAGCTTTGCTACAGTAGTTCGTTAATCAATAATTAACTGATGAATGCACTGAACTGTCTGGGCCACCGTAAATTCAGCAACGTTAGATCGATCATGGGATATGCTGGGAGGAGTTTGTCTGCAGTTGTCCGCTGTTTTCAGTCCATTTGTATTTCTGTAATCATGAATTGAAATTTATAATTTGAGAACGTAATTAGTTAGAACAGAAGTAGTGCAGTTACAGCAGCAGGTCAAGATATAACTGAAGCTCACTGTTGGTCAGCTCAGTTTGTCAACTGGGACTAAACGCTACAACATTCATGAACTTGACAGTTCATCATTTGGAACGAATCAGGAAGGTGAAAGGATAAAGGAGTAAAGGTAATGAGGTATGCAGTGTGATATCGGGTCAGAGGAGTTCCTCTGGGTTTATCCCGACTGTTGGTGATGAAACGTGGTTCAGACATTCAGGATGAACCATAAGAACTTTATTGACGTTCCCATCAGCCTCAGCCGTCGGTTTACCGCTAATTAGCTAACGTTAGCATGCTAACACACTGAACTAACATTGTAGTTGATAAACATCGGCATGCTAGCATTCAGGCTCACAGCTAGCATGGCTGCAGATTTTAGCATGAAGAACTCCTCACACACACACACACACACACACACACACACACCTGAGAGCGACTCACCTGCTCTTCGTCCTCCTCTTCCTCCTCTTCCTCCGTCCGGGTTGCACTGCGGGGATGTTTCAGTGTCAGCAGCAGCCAGTGGTGACTGACTGGATGTGATTTTACTACCAAACCAAAACAGACTGTAATCCTCTCTAACCCGCCTTAATCCAGCCACCACTAACCTCTCCGGCTCCCTCTCTGCCACCCCTTCTTCCCTCCTTCCTTCGCTTTCTTCTGGGATCTCTAAAACCTGTTTCTGTCCCCGACCTCCATCTTCCCATCCTCACTCCATCTGTTCCTCTGGTGTCTCTTTACCGTCTCTCTCTCTCATCGTACAGCTTCCTCATCATTTTCTCGCTCTGTCACTCACTTTAAGTACCTCGACAGATCACAAAGCTTCTTAACTCTTTGCTGCTTTTAGCCACACACACACACACACAGGCCAGACAGCAGCAGGCAACACAGCGCTAACACACAAACACACAATAACAGGAGGCATTAAATCCTGCTGCAACATCTGGATCTTCAAGAGGCCACTATCAGCTGTATGTGTGTGTGTGTGTGTGTGTTATTGTGTGTGTGTTATTGTGTGTGTTAGGGGTTATCACAGGCTGATGGGGTCACTGGGTCGCCTCCTCACAGATTAACACTGATCCTTCAGAAACAGGCAGATGGAAGAAAAGATGGCTGCAGCTCCTCCGGTTCAATAACTACTCCCATAAAATGGGATGAAAATCACATCTGCATTAAAATAAATATATGTTTGAATATGTAACATAAGTCCAAGTTTAAAGACATTTTAATGTAGAAATAAGCAACAAAATAACTAAATAAGCTCCTGACTTTAGTTTGAATTCATTTGAGGGAAGTTATTCATTATTTCTATTAGTTTTTGCTTCATTGCGCGCATTCCCAACATCAATATCCTTCAAATCTATTCATACTCCTTCTGCTGGATGTGAAAGCCTGTATCACTCACTGTTCAGCCAATGTAACGGGACAAAATACTGATATCTTAAAATACTGATATTTGATATATAATCATTTGTTTTAGTGAAATAATGAGACAAAGACTGAATGTTTTTGTGTAAATTTCACTTTTATTTTCATATCAAATGAATTCATTCATTCAGTGACTTTGTTCACATGAATCATTTTCCAATATTATTCCAGAT